AGGGGTGAGCTGAGGGCCGAGGGCAGCCGAGCCGGGCTGCACCGGCCTGGAGCATGGACTGGATGCATGGACTTTCAATTGTTTTTTAATGGTGGCCCAAAGTTAAGGGATGCACGTTATAGCGTGACCCTGTCTGAACCCAGTTGTATGAATATAATTGAATCCAGAAGGTCACAAACCTGCTCTTACTCTGCATGCAATGCTCCATGTTCTATTTTTTGTAACTGCTTGTCTTGACCCTGTAAATTGATTTCAGACTCCTTCTCGGGTCTCCTCCTCTGGGGGGCGCCCCAGCAGGGTCAGGGAGGGCAGGAGCAGGCTGGCTGGTGGGTCCCCCGGGGCAGCGCCAGGCAGGCCCTGGCTGGGGAGGCAAGGAGGCTGGAGCTGTCGAGGCAGAAGGGGGAGTTGTGCTGGGGTGGGGAGGTCTGATGGGGTGGGCGCCCCTCCACACACCCAGTCCAGTTCCCTGATTGCGAATCCCTCCCCCTAGGGACTCAGCATGGGGTCCCTGGGCCGGGGTGGGAGTGGGGGCACCTCCAACCAGCTCTCAAACCCACAGTTCAAGCGGCCACAGATTCAAAAGAAGAACCGGAAAAGGAAGGAATCAGGCGCCAGCGGGTGGTAGACGAAGTCTTTCCCAACACCGGCAACAGACAGGCAGGATGGGGGAAGAGTAGGAGGAGGCTGCTGGGGGGAGGGCTCTCGGCTCAGAGCCGCCCCCTCCCCCACCCCCGTGTGCGCGCATGCACACAGAGCTCACCCAGTCAGGGGAGCTCCAGGGCTAGGCCCAGGGTCTGTGCCCCAGGGCATTGCCCACTCCCTGGTGTCCAGCCCAGCGCAGGGCCCAGGGTGGTAGGCAGCGAGAGAGGGCTGGCCCCTGGGAGTCCTGTCATGTCCTGAGGCTACCCCGTGCTGTGTGTGCCCTGCGCTGTGGGCCTGTCACTTATGCAGGCAGAAGACTCAGGCTGGCATTTGCCTTTCCAGACTCACAGTGAGGACTCAGGACTGGGCTGACTTCCCTGCCTCCTTTTCATCTCTGGGGAAAGGCAGCCCAGCCCTGTGGAAGGCCTGCTGTGTTCCTGGCCCCATTTAGTTCCATGACAACCTTGTACGGTTGGTATTGTTGCTCTCTCCGTGTTGCAGGGAAGATACTGAGGTTCAGAGAGGTAAAGCCACCTGCCTAAGGTTGCACAGCCTTTAAGTGGCAGAGCCAGGATCTGAACCCAGGCCTGCTGCCTCCAGAAACTGGGTTTTTCCCGGGCAACCCCCGCCCCCATCATGGCCATGCTGAGGAGTCCTAGCAGTCCCTGAAACTTCCGAGAAGTGAAGGATCAAGGATGCGCCATTCCTGAAAATATCCCTGAAAACTCGCTGCAAAGTGGAGGTCGGCAGGGCTTAGTGGTGGCAACCTGTGCTGCCCAGTGGGACCATCTGTACTTGCAGTTGTGTGGGGGGTGCAGAGGGGAGGACCAAGAGATGCACAACAGGCAGCCAAGCTCCCGGGTAGGGCTGGGCTGGGATGGCGGCCCTGGGGGGGGGGGGCGGGACCCTCCCAGACACCATGCTGCAGCTGTTTCCCTGCTCCCGGGTTCCCTGCCACCCCCCATGGATTCCCCCCACCAGGGGTGCACCAGCCACATTCACACAGCCTCACACTTCTCCCATCCAGAAAAACTCCCCCTGGACCCAACCTTCACATTCTCCCTGCCCTCCAGCTCCCTCCTTTCCTTTTCTGACCAGCACTGGAAAAAGCAGCCACTGCAGGCTCTTCTCCCCTGTTGCCAGGCAAACGAATCCGTTCTCCCACAGAAAACACGCGAGGCTCCTTGAAGGTCTTTCCTCCCCGTGCCCGTCCCAGTCCAGCCGGCGTGGAGAGCGGGCAGGCCTCCCGGAGAATTATCCAGCAGTAACTTTGTGTTGCTCCTCTAGACCTCTCAGCATGGGGAGAGTCCCCCGGTGCCTGGAGGGAAAGCGGGCCGGCCTAGGCTGCTCTGGCCACTCTGGGTCCTCTGGTCACTTACAGTCACAAACAAGACCCAGTTCTTCAAGTCTCTGGCCCCGAGTAACAGCCAAAATTCTGAACGTGAGTCATGCCAAAGGGGCCAGCTGGGGCCCGTGTGAGAGTCGGGGGGAGGCCCTCTTCTCTCTCCCCAGCATCTTGGCCCTTCCCCACCTGTCAGCTGGGTCGAGGCAGGGGAGTGGGGGAGCAGGAAGGGGCAGAGAAGCCCGGCGGTCAGCTGCTGTGGACAGGTGGCCCCATACTCTGGATGCTTGTAGAGTCTGGAGTGGACCCCTTCGGGCACTTTCCTGGCCACTCAGCGGCCCCTGCTGGAGTGTGCCAACAGGTCTCCCGGGGCTCTCTGTCCCGCCTCAGCCCCAGGAATCCAAGGTCCACCCCAATCCACCTCCCTGAGCCGTCTGCCCCTCTCGGCAGCCCATGAATCTAGGAGGATCCCGAGGCTGGCTCACTCTGCCTGGCCCCCCCTCCCTTGGGGGATATACTCCCTTCGCCTAAACAAGGGACAAGGTGTGGTGCAGCCGGTGCAAAACAGACAGTAGCCACTGTGCCATCCTTGTGGCACTCAGAGGACACACCTCAAGCTCTGTGAGGGCCACACTGAAGCCCCTCTGGGTCTGGGGTGAGAAGCAGGCACCCGCAGGGCAGGCTGGGTGCCCCTGCCTCTCTCTCGAGGTCCCCTCTTCACCCATTCTCTCTGCCATGTGGCCACTTGTTGGCCTCCAAATGTGAGAATCTGTGACGTCTGCCAGGGTCTGACAAACCCCTCTCTTTAGCATCTGATGTCTCCTGTGCTTGGTGCCACCACGGACACTCCCAGCCCTGCACCAGTCACACTTGACCGGGTCTCTGACTCTAGTACCCAGTGTGGTTGCTGGCTTTTCTTCCTTGGCACAGTCAGACAAACCTGGGTCCAAATCTTGCCTCCGCCACTTAGTAACTCTGTGGCTTGGGGCCTCTAAGACCCTCTGATTTTTTTGTCTGCAAAATGGGGTTGTGGTGGTGTTTGGTTGACCGAGGGCCTGCATCATACCCAGCCCAAGTGTGTTTTCTATACATTTTGTTTCCTCTGTCCTTGGGCGGTTTCAGCCCCACTGTACGTGTGTGTTCCTGCTGGCAGTTCACTGATGACACCCAGACCCCCAGGTCACCAGCATGCCCCTCCTCAGACAGAATCAGTGGTTCCCTCCCCATCAGCCCTCTCACTCCAGGCTCTGTCTGCTTCCCCGTTAGACTGGGGACCTTCCCAGGGCAGGGAGCCCCTCCAGGTCTTGGACGGGGCCTGTGGCCTTACTGGTGCCCCTTAAATGTTTGTCGGAGGCACAAACAAATGGTCGCTGAAAAGAATTCATGAACTCGGAAATTAACTATGAACTTGTCTGTAGCCCTGAGCCTTGACCGAGGAATTCTTGGCAGCCAACCGGAACAGCCTGCACCCCGGAAGGGGCATCTCGGAGGCACAGGTCCAGGAGAGGGGTGGGAGCTGGGCTGCTGTGGTCCAGGCTCTGGGGTTCTGACACCCCAATAAAATGAAGGGCCAGTGGCGGCAATTAGCTACGTCATCAGACCAGAACCAAACGCCTTCACCGCAACCACAGCCTCCCGCCTCCTCCTCGTGTTCGGCCTGCTGTCTCCAGATGGGCGGTTCCTACTGATCCACAGAGACAGCCCCAGTGCTTCACTCTTGGAGACAGCAGTTTCATCCGAGGTCTGAGGTTCTCCTCTCTGTGGCAGACCTGAGCCAGGGCCATGCATTTTCGTGATCCTAACCCTCTGACCTTAAGATAACGAATCCCAGAAGAGTATAGAACAATACTCATCTATTTTTATACATTTCCCCAGAAGCGTAAAGATGGGCTTAATTGTACTAGCAGGTTCCATCATTTTCTAGAGGGATACCTCAAATGGGGAGAATTTTTTAGGACAATTGAATGAATGTCTTCCTGCCAGGATGAACAGGAATGTGGCCTCGTTGTGCTGACCGCGCGTCCAGCCTCCCCGGGCCTGGGTGGCCTCTTAGATACATGGAGAGGAGGAGCGGGAGGTGGAGAGGCCTCTGGGCAGGCCCTGGTGCAGGGTGCTTTCCTGGTGATTCTGGTCGGGTCCCAACCTCCGACCCTCACGAGGAAACCCTAGCCTGGCACCACTCCCCCTGCTGCCACGCAGAGTCCCTGCGAGAACCACCTGGGAGGATGTGGACAAGAGTCAGCAATGGGTCCCGAGTGTGGGGACTAAGGAGGAGCTGGCCAGCTGGGGAGGTGGAGGTCCAGGCAGGGGGACACAGGGACAAATGCAGAGCGGGGATGTGGCCTATGTGTGAAGGGAGGATGGCAGCGTGGGCTGGCTGGGCGGGACAAGCAGTGCTCCTCTCACCCCTCCTGCCTCTTGTCCTTCTTGGCCCACCTGGGACCCCGGGGATCATGCAACAACACCCCTCCCCCTGCCCCTGCACCCCACCCTGCTCCTGCCACATCTCAGACAAACCTCAGCCCCGAGTCAATGCTCCTTGCTTTATGACAAAACTAAAATATCGTTATAGTTCAACAGCGACGACAGCCACCCTACAGAAGAGCCGAGAGACATAAAGCATGGTGTGAAGTCCCCTCCCGCTCCACCCCCAGAGGGGAGCCCCGGGGCCTGCTCAGTGCGTTCTCCACATGGGGGCATCGTCCTGTGTGTGACGTACACCAGAGCCGACCCACTGTGACCTCCAGACATGCCAGTCACTCCCAGGAACTGTTGGTGCCTTTAGTTCTTTGGAGAAGGGGTGTCTCTGTAGTTGCTCAGCAGGAAGCTCAAAATATCAGCGTGGACAGAGCTTCAAGGGATTAACTGGTGTGGAGGGTCATCTCTGTCCCTGTCCCTGGAGTCTTCCGGAGAGCCTGGCCTCGCCTCCCCGTGGGATCCAGCTCAGGGCTGAGCTGAAGAGGCCGGAGAAGCCAGCCTGGCCTCCTGCCAGCCCCGCACCACAGGCAGGAGGCCCAGCCTCACTTTCCCCAACAAAATAAATCTCACCGCTCCCTGTGAGCGTCTCCAACGCATGCTCTTCCCCCGATTAACAACCTGGCCAGCGTGTTCTTGGCTGCTCGCTGCCGACCTCAATTTAGAACTGTCTGCTGTTCGGCTGCTGGAGAAGGAAGGTGCTAGGGGACCAGGGCGTATGGAAGCTGGGCGGCTGGTGCCACTGAAGTCTGGGGGCGGGGAGGGGGCGGCTGCTGACTGGGGCCTGGAATCTGACCAGTGTCTCAGGAGGCTGCAGGGGAGTGGGAGGCCCAGCCAGGCAGGCTGCTGCTTTGGGGGCTTTCAAACTGTTTTCCCAGGTGCCTCTGATGAGAAGGGGGCTGGCAGGTGGGGGAGGAGGCGGCTCCCGTAGAACTGCCTTCTTAACAGTCATTAAACGCCGCGGTCAAATGGCTCCATGCGGAACACCTCCGCATTATCAGAAAACTGCTCTCAGGGCGTTGCTTGCTATACTCTGTAAAAAGTGGACAAACTCGTCTCCGTACTCAGATTCAGGGAAGGATTTGTCTGCCTGTTGCCTGGCATGCCTCCTCCTTCAGACTGGGGAGACCCACGGGCAGACCTGCCTCGCTCTGTGTGTCTACTGCCAGGAAGGGCTTCTTTATTTTGTTTCTTGCCTCCTTCCTCTTTACTTCTCCTCCTTCGCCAGCTTTGGGTCTTCTCAGACCCGTGCTTTCATACAACGCAGCCTCTCGGCCTTTGGGAAGGAGAGTGGTCGGGATCGTGGGGTCTGGAGTCTTCCAGCCCTGGGCAGGGCTGCAGCTCCATCTCATACCTGCTGAAAGATTGAAAGCTAGCAGCTTGACCTCCCTGACCCTTAGTCTCTTCCTCTGTGTAAAACGGAGCTCTCAACACACTTTGCCTTGGGTGTGTTGGGAGAGGCAGGGTCGTGTATAAAGCCCTTGGCGCAACACCTGCACACAAGTGTATGAGAAGTGTGAGCATGAACCACGGTCCTCCCAGGGAAGCAGTGGGATTGGAGCAGCCTAGAGAGTGAGCCCCACTCTCTCTTTTTCCTTCCCCTGCAGGAGGGCAGTCGGTGATCCACACTGGCCCCCCCATTGTGGTCTCTCTGGCCAACACGGCTGTTTCCTTCAGCTGCAGAATCACCTACCCGTACGCCCCACAATTCAAGGAGGTCAGAGTCAGCTACTTTTATGTGGACCTGCAGGGCCAGAGCAGCTCTGAGGAGCAGACTGGCTGCTGGCTCAGCCCAGGCAAGGAGAACCAGACGTCTACCACGAAGTGCCAGGTCACCCCCAAGCTGCCCAACGCCTCAGCCACCGGCACCTACTACTGCTCCATCCTCTGGGCGGGCTCCAGGGTGAGCGGCACTGGAACCTTCATCCTGGTCAGAGGTGAGGCTTCTTTGGCGGCTCTTCCCAGAGCGAAGGGCCCGGAGGTTTCATGCAGCCGAGTTCGGAGCACAGGATCCAAACATTTGCCTTATCTTCGGCTTTGGCGGAACAGAGCAGAGGGTCCTCAGGGAGCCCCTGGCCATACAGGTGTGCTGAGACGTCCACCTTTGTGTGGGAAAGGCAGAGTCCTGGGATAGGGATCTGCCTCTGGCCACCTCTGGCTGGTGACCTGAGAGAGGTCACTTGGCCCCTTGGTCTCACTGTCCCTTGTGACATGGTGTGGGGGCTGGGCGAGTGCAGAATTGGGCGTGTGCACGTGTGTGTTTGTGGCGGCCTGTGAGTGAGCACTCTGCTCATGTGCATCTTTCTGGGGACAGATTACTAGTTTTCGTCTTTCATTCTTTTTTTTTTAAAGATTTTATTTATTTTATTTTTTGCCCCCAAAGCCCCAGTAGATAGTTGTATGTCACTGCTGCACACCCTTCTAGTTGCTGTATGTGGGACTCGGCCCCAGGATGGACAGAGAAGTGGTGCCTCGATGCGCACCCGGGATCCGAACCCGGGCCGCCAGCATCGCAGCGCGCGCACTTAACCACCAAGCCACAGGGCCGGCCCTCGTCTTTCATTCTTAAAGGAGTAAAGACTCCCAAAAGTTAGGAACAGCCCATCACCGGAGCCATGACTCTCTGACCTGCCTTTGCGACTCCCACTGGTAGGGCTGGGGCTTCAGACCTGCGTCTGGACCCCAGTCCAGCTGTTGCCAGGATGTGACCTTGGGCCTGGTCTTCATGGCAATAACCTGCCTGCCACAGGCTTGACAGGGATGAATGAGCTCCTGCACGCAAGGGCGCATGCCTGGAGATAGGCAGTGCCTGATAAATAACAGACACTGACATGCCTGCAATTTTTTGCCAGCCAGACGGATGGACGGAGGGAGGGATGCAAGAATGGATGGCTCAAAGGATGGGGCTGGGCTGTGCCCTTCACTCACCCCTGGTGCAGGCCAGCCACCTGCTGGGCCAGATGTGAACCATCCCCTTCCCCCTCACCACACCTGCCATATGATCATGGTTGCATGTGTGGAGAAGAGGAGGCCCCAAGAGATGGAGTGACTCACCCAGGGTCCCATGCAGCTCTCAGTGGAGCCAGTTCACTGAGGTCGGGCACTTAAGAAGCAAAAGATGTGGTCCAGGCCCTTAACAAGAATCGAGGCAGCAGACAGAGAGGGGCTTGGGAATGAGGGCCCGAGTAGAGGTGGGGGTCTGCGGGGCCTTGTGGGGGCGTTGTCAGCGGGGTCCTGGGTAAAGGAGGAAGCAGGGATTGGGGGCCTGGGGCGCCCCGGCCTCTCTCGGGTAACTAACCCCTCTGCTTCTTTGCTTTCCCCCCAGACACAGGGTACCAGGAGCCCCCGCAGGACCCCCAGAAGCTCCTGCTCTTTTGCTTCACCGGCCTCCTGATTGTGCTGAGCGTCGTCGGCACGGCTCTACTGCTCTGGAAGAAGGTACGGGGTGCGTGCACACAGCAACGCTGCCCCTCCACTCCGCTCACTATGGTTAGGGGTGCCTCCGAGGGGCGGCCGGTGGGACATGGGGAGGGGTGCCTGTAGCAAGTGTTCCTCGTGGCCCCTTGCACCAGGGCTCCCTCCCTCGCCTTTCCTGTGGCTGGGCCTGTGCTGCCAACCTGTCTTCACCAGGCCCCTTTTGATCTCGTGCCAAGAAATCAGGGCTCTTCAGCCTTTTCCGGGTCACAGGTCCCTCTGAGTATCTGATGGAAGCTGCGGGCCCATGTGCTTACCGTTTCCAGCTCTTCTGATTGGGGGTCCCTGTCCCGGATTTTCTGGATTCCTAGCAATCCAGAAGAAGGGAAGAAGCATTTCCTAAGAGCCACTGTGTGCCAGGCACCCTCCCATGCGATCTCTCATTTGTGTCCCACTGTAACTCTGTGAGGGAGGTTTCCTCCCATTTTACAGCTCTGGAAAGTAAGGCTCAGAGAGGTGGTGACTTTCCCAAGGTCCCACAGCAAGCATGTGGCAGAGTCAGGGCTGGAGTGTAGGTGGATGGGGCAGTTTGGTCCAGCGCTACGCCTCGCCGACTCCTGCTCACGTTGTGAAGGCACCTACGCAGGGAGGGGTGGCTCCCCTCACTCTCATCGTCACCCAGCCCTGTGGTTTCTTGTTCGATGCCCACCATCCCTGCCAGGTAGCAAATGCATGAAGACAGAGACTGAGGCGATCTTGTTGCCGTGGCTCTGTGTGTGCCCAGCATGCAGTGGGTGTGCAGTAAATGTTTGCTGAGTGAAGGAATGCAGTACCCAGTGAGCGCCAGTTTCTGCCAGGCTCTGAGGTTCAAAGATGGCTGTTGGGCTGCAGGACCCTCTGTCCTGGCTCCTTGAAGGCTGCCGTCAGAGCGGCTTAGGCCATTGCTCTACCTCTGAGACCAAGAGCATCTCTGCTGTCTGCTCTCTGCTCCGTTAGGGGCCGAACTGGGGAACAGCTCAGTCAGCGAAGCCCCTGGGTGTGGCGGCAGGGCTCCGGCAGCACCACAAGGGGCTCCTTGGTCCAAGAAGGCTGAGGCCCTGCACCCAAAGGGCCAGACCCTGTCCACACCCATGGAAGGCCCCCTTAGATGGGAATTCATGTGTTCATTCATTCAGCAAACATTTATTGAGCACCTACAGCATTCCAGGCCCTGTTCAGGCCCTGGGGATACAGCAACGACCAAATTGGACCCCCAAGAAATCCCTGCCCTCGTCGCCTTGTATTGCAGCTGAGGGGAGACAGACAGAAACCAACAAGTGAATAGGTAGCGTAGCAGTGTGCTAAGTGTTGGGGAAACACAGCAAAGAGGACAGTAGTGAGTGTGGGAACGGGGGAGCTTGCTGTTTTAAATAGAGGGTCATGGAGGGCCTCCCCACTCCGCACTCAGAAGGAAGGGAGGCAGGCGGGCATTGGGAAGAGTGTGTTCGGCAGGGGAACAGCAGGTGCAGGTACTCTGAGGCAGAAGTGTGCTGGCAGCATCCCAGGAGCTGCAGGGAGGCCTGCGTGGTGGTGTGGCCTGAGTGCAGAGCAAGGGAGGGAGGGTGGAGGTGGGAGGCTAGGGTGAGGGCCATTGAATGGACTTGAGTTCTTACTCTGAGTGAGCTGGGAGCCATTGGAGGGAAAGAGGCGGGCAGGATCAGACTGAGATTCTGATGGAGCCTCTGACTGCTGTGAGGAGAAGCAGGGGAAGGGAGACCCAGTGAGGGGCTACTGCAATAGTCCAGGCACAGGTGACAGTGGCTGGGACTAAGGTGGCTGCAGGGGAAGTGGCGAGAAGGTGGGGCCCACGGGGTTCTCTGAGGAGATGACACGCAGTCTGCTAGAGCCCACTGTTTACAGGTCTGCTCTGCTCCCTCGGGGGGTAGGACTGAGCCTGGGTCCCTCTAGAACAGGGCCTGTGGGGTGAGGGTCCAGCAGACATGGGTGGGATGGAAGAACGGGTGAGGCAGCCCGGAGTCAGAGGGGTGAGGACTTGCCTGAGCCACACAGCCAGTACAGGCAGGCCTGGGACTCGAACCTGGCCTCGGTTTCCTACCCTTGCCTCAAGGCTTGAGACATTATGGCTCTTCCAAAAAAGGCCTCAAGGCTATAGAAGACGGCGAGCAGGGCCACTTTCTCCTCCACGAGCCCTCTGGAGGCTGCCTCTCCTGCCTTCTGTGGGCTGGAGCCCGGGTGACAGCCTCAGCCACCCTTCTAGTTCCTCTCCTATCCTGTGACCCCCTCGGGACGCCACAGATGGGAGGCATGACCCTGGTGTGACCTGTTCCTGATTTGGCCTCGTTCCTCTAACGAGCTACAGAGGGAGCGCCCTTCACTCCACCCAGGCGCCGGGCTCTGCCGGGAGGCCCAGGGAGGGCCCTGCCCCCTCAGTGGGTCCTCAGTCCCCCACCTCCGGCCTGGCCACAGGAACAGCAGAGCAGGAAGACAGAAGAGGGGTGGGAACCACGAATCCCAGGATTAGGACAGAGACCCAGCCCCACGGGGCCCCCTTTGCTCCCTCAGCCAGCATGTACTGAGCGCCAACTGTACACCCAGCCCAGGCTCTTCCTTTTCACACACCCCAACCACCCCCTCAGTACCTTCCCTCCCCACACCTGCTGCTTCCATGAGGGGAACAGGCAGGACAGCTCTTGATTTGTTGGTCACTCAGCAAACACCTACTGAGCAGCCACCAGTGTTGGACAGGGCGCCCAGGCTGGGACGTGGGCGTGGACAGAAACTGCACTTCAGGCAGGGCAATGAGGGGCCCTTGCTGGCCTGTGGGCCCCTACACCAGGCTTATGTGAGTGTCCGTACAAGTGCCTGCCGTGGGCGTGAAGCTCAGCGGGCGAGGGCCAGAGCGGGCCAGGTGTGACCTTGACCTGAGCCCCCACTTCAGTTCCCGCTCTGCCAAAACGGGACTGTAACGACTGGACCTCAGTGTCCTGCGAGGCCAGGAAGGCACCTGGCGCAGAGGGGGTGCTCAGCGGAGGCTTGGGAGGAGGTGAGAAGGGGCAAACCCCAGAGCCCCTGCTGGCCTTCCCATCCCAGCCCCTCACCCTGCGGCGTGGCCTCGGTGACTCCTCCCCTCCCTCCTCCTCCTCCCTCTCGCCTCCTCTCCTCTCCTTCCAGGAATAGCTGTTGAATATCTAGTATGTGCCAGGCGCTGGGCTAAGTGCCAGACACAGGAAAGCAAGACAGACACAGCCCCCGCCCTCTTGTCAAGTTTTGACCCTCCCCGAGCCTCAGTTTCCTCCCCCAGCAATGAGGATAAAGATAGATCCCCCCCTCACACGGAAAGCGTGGAAGAGACAGAGTTTGGAGGCACAAGCTGGGTGCCCGACCCACAGCAGGAGCACAATGCACAGGCGCTTCCTGCTGTCCCTCCCTGCACTTGGGGGAGGAAGGGCTGGACGAGAGCCTGGCCTTGTGGGAGAGAGAACTCGGAAGGCCAGAAGCCGCTGCTGGGTTTGTGTGGCCAAAGAAGTCCCCGGAGGTCCCTGGAGCTGGATCCACATTCGGGATGCGGACCCTGTGGAAGCCACCTCGGAGCTGGATGGCTGCGGGTGACTTGTCCCCTCCCAGGCCAGCTGGTCTGAATCGTGATCTGAGCACAGGAACGGAGTGTGCAGTGGGGGCCTCCAGTCGGAGACCAGGCCAGGCAGCCGGCCGTGGGGGCTGAGAGGAGAGGCCCGAGGAGGCCTGGAGGACCCCAGGAGCAGAGCGGCTGCGAATGTAAATGAATCCAAGCCCGCAGCTACTGACCCAGAAGGGGCAGATGATTCCTGCCCGAGAAAGCAGGTGCAGAGCTTCCACCCCGCTGGAGGGGTCAAGGCTCGCTCCTGGAGCAGGCAGCCTCTGATGCCCATCCATCCTCATCCTCTCGGGGCATCTGACACAGCTCTCTCCCTCCTCCACGGCACGCTCCTTCCCTTGCTTCCAGGCCCCCAGCGGCCCTGTGCCAGGTCACCCACGTCTTTGTGGCCTGTACACATCGGCGTGTCCCGGGCCCCCTCCTCAGAGCTCTTCCTGCTCTGTCTACTCTCCCCGATGACTTCTCTGTTCCTAGGAGTTACATTCCCCGCCCACTGGTGCTGCCCAGACCCCTCCCTGAGCTCCAGACCACGTCCACTCCATGTGGGGCCCTAAGGGCATTTGCACCTACCTCGTCCAGAACAGCACGCTTCGGTCCCCCGAGTCTGCCCCCTGCGTCTGCCCTATCTTGGCAAATGGCACCACGCCCCCAGATGCTCCGGCCCAAAGCACCCGAGTTGAGCTCGGCTCCTCTCTCTCCCTCCACAGCTGATCCCCCAGCAAGTCCTGCCCACAGTCTATCCAGGATCTAGCCCCGTCTCCCCTACCCCCATCCCCCAGGCCGGGGCTCCATCACTCCTTGCCAGGAATATGGTCTCCCTGCTTCCACGCTTGCCTCCCCCTCTGCTCCCCACACCCTTACTATGTGTTCACGGCTATCTCCCCAACCAGGGCGTGAGCCCCAGAGGGCACTGGTGTTCCCAGTGCCTGGGGGAGCCTGATGCAGAGGAGGTGCTTGTGGAAGGAATGATGGGGTGAGTGAGCACTGAGACCTGAGAGATGAGTCGGAGATGCCAGGCTGTGATGAGGGCAAGGCGGCAGTGTCGCTCCCATTTTACAGACGGGGAAACTGAGGCTCTACAGGTTTCCTGAGCTGCTGATGGCCACATTGCTTGGTTTATTCATTTGAAAATCACAATTGGAAGGACATATATGGATGGCCTGGGACAGGGCACGCTGAGGGGGCAAGGCTGGCTCCCAGGGGTGGAGCATCCGCACTCTGGTAACAAAATGCAGCCATCTGATTTTTCAAGGGAGGCTCCCTCTGTGCTCCACGGGACCCCTGGCCACAGCCCAGGTCTCCTCATCTCCCCCCGGAAGGCCTGCCCCTCCTGGAGGTCTCTTGCCTCCTCTGCTTACCACCCCTCCCAACTCTCAATCCACCCACAGCTGAGGCAGCTAGGGAGCCTTATAAAATGCAAATCTGACCCAATCTGACTGCTTCCTCAAGTAGGGACTGTGGCGGCCCGCCTTTCGTGGGCCCGCCCTCACCAGCCTCCCAGCCCATCTCCTTTCATCTTTTACTTCTGTCGACTGCTTTCTGGCTGTCCACCCTTCTGCGTGTCCCTGACTCGGGCTGCTACTCCATGGGCTGTTCCCGCGGCCCGGGACATTTTCTCAGACTCCTCTCCTATCTTCAGGAGATAGCGCAAGCCCTGAGAAGTCTGCCCCAGCCCCCAGGCAGACTTGGGGCTCCTTCCCACGGCCCTACAGCGGCCCCCCCAGTCTCATTAGGAGCCACGAGGCCTGGCCTGGGTCTTGCTCACCATGGGGTCCAGGAGGGCCCTGCCATGAGCTCATGTCCACCAGTCTTGGCAGGGTCCAGACCACTGGCTCAGGGAGGGGAGAGGCACCAGCCCCCTGGCTATCTTGAGGAAAGGCACACCCCCTGACTGTGACAGACCCCTCAAGAAGTAGGTGGCCCGGGGAGGGGCACTAGATTTGAGAGCAAGCCATCTGGGCTCCATCAGGGGGCAGTCGTTGACTCTCTGGACAAGCCTCAGTTTCCCCCTCTGTAAAGTGGGAATTCCACGCCCACCTCCTCAGGCTATTATGAAAATAACCACAAGTCCTAAGGTCCTTTGTAAACTGTCAAGTGCTGCACTGATGCCAGCACCTATCTAACTGTCCGTGAGACCTACACATTCAAACAAAACAGGAGGGAAATTCCAGGTACCATCAAGTCAGCATCTTGGTGAATCACACAGACCTGGGTTCAAATCCTGCCTCTACCACTTCTGGCTCTGTGGCCCCAGGCCAGTTGCCTGCCCTCTCTGAGCTTTCACGTCCTAATGTATGGGAACAGAGACGATACGAAGACGTGTCTTGCAGGTTGGTTGAGGGGCACATGAGATGAGGTAGGCAATGCGTTTAGAGCCCACCTGGCACCCGGTGAGGCTCCATCGTCTTGAGCCATTATTATGCTGTGACTGGGGGTGGTGCTGGCTTCTGCCTGAGAGTTAAGTAGCTCTCAAGAGCTAATCCTGAGTAAATGGGTTGGGGATTGGCAGGCGGCCAGGGTTTTTAATTAGCTCCTGCCCCGAGATGAGGCTGTTGTTGCTCCACTGTTGGCAGTGTGGTGCCTGCGATGAGGGGGCACGTCCGGATGGCCTCCCTCTGCCTTGGGAGGAGCTGACTGCACCGCCTCCTGACTGTCCTCCTGTCCCCGAGCCTTAGCCTCCCTGCAGGCCCACTGCCCCTGCCTCTAGGACCACCTTCAGTGCTTCACACAGCAGCCAGCATGCACTTTCGGAAACTGCTTTCGGATCCTGGCGCCTCCTGCTTAGGGCCCTCAGATGGTTTCCACTATCTACACTCTTCGCGCGGCCCTGCCCAGCCGTCCTGACCCAGCCCGGGCAGATTCGCCTCTCTCTGGCCACACTGACCATCTTTAAGTTCCTCCAGACCTTTAGCCTTGGCACATGCTATTCCCTCTGCCTCTCCTCCCTCTCCTGCCAAACCAACTTCTCAGCCCTCGGGTCTTAAACATCCCTTCCTGCCGGGTGAGGCGCTCGTTCCCTCCCCGTGCGCCCGAGGCTGCACCCCTGTTGGTCAGCAAACTGCTAGTTCATTGTCCGTCTCCCCACTGGGTCCTAAGGTCGGGGAGGGCAGGGACGGTGTCCACCTCTTCATAGCCCCTGGCTAACAAGAGGTGCCTGACCAGTGTTGTTGGTTGGCCAAGGGCCATCTGAGTGCCACCTGAGTGCCAAGCACTTACCCCTCGTCACCTCCCTGAGTCGTTGCAGCAATCTCACAAAGGAGGGTTATTGCTGAAGAAGTTGAGGCCCAGAGAGGGTAAGTGGCTTGTGCGAGGCCACAGAGCCAGTGGGGGGCAGAGCGGGACTGGACACCTGGTCTGGCTGGCATGCGCTCAGGACCACCACAACAGTCGGCTCCGGAGCCGGGGACCATGTCACACCAGCACTGTACCTGCAGTGCCTGCTCCCCTGGGCCAGGCGCTGTGTCTCGGGCAATGCCTCATGGGGGTCTTTGTCGTTTCTTGTATCTCCAGGCAGGTGAATGGCCTGATGTAGGTCTTGGAGGCATTTGCCAGGTTTCCCTGGAGAGGGTGGGCGGAAGGTGCTGAGTGGTCAGCTTCTGTGTGGCCTCACGACTGTCTGCGGTCCCTCCCCTGGGGGGCGGGGTCTGTGTGTCGGGGTGGAGACAGGGGAGCCGCTGGTCTCAGCCCTGACAGCCCTGAGTCCTTTCCTCACAGAAACAGATGCAGGCTCGGCGGAAGCACCCCGCCAAGAAGTGCCCGGCTCCCAGCGCTGCCAGCAGCCGGGAGCAGCCTGCGCCTGAATCCGTCTACACGGTGAGTCTGGGGGCCTGGGCTCCCTCCACCTCTCTCAGGCCTGACTCAGGGTCTGGTTCCCTGGCTCGGTCGTGCACCAGCTGTGTGACCTCTCTGAGCCTCCAGAGGAAACTGGGGACAAGAACTCCTGCCTGGTGGAGTTTCTATGCGGGTGAGCCGAGATGACGTGTGTGTGGCCCCTGGCCCCCCAGCAGGCACCTAGACGCGAGGGGCTGCCCCGTTCCCCTCCCTGGCAGATCCCTTTACTTCTGGAATGAGGGGGAGCAAGGGCGTGAGTTGGTGAGGAATGAAGACAGTTTCTTCATCCGACCAAATGACATTGACCAGCTCACTAACTCCTTCCTGTTTTTGTTGCACAAACAACATCACAGCAGCAACAAGAACCACAAAAAGAGGAAAAAGGTCAGGCACCATCCCACGCCCTTCACACATCAACGATCCTCAATTCTTCACACTCCCCCTTCTCCACACACAGACATTGTTTTTTCTCTACGATCAAGGAGAGACACGGGCTGGGGCACTGTTTCCTTGTGTCGTAAGCACTGTCCGTCACTGCCACACTCTTCCTGATCATCCTGGGAGAGGCTCAGCCTCGTGCCCGGCTGGCCACTCTGCCCGGTGGCTGGGAAGATGACAAACGTTCTTTCTAAGTTATGTCTATTTTAGTCCCACAAGTAACATATGCTCACTGTAGAGAAAGCACAAACAAACGCAGCTCAGTGTTAGTGGGGTCCTGACTCCGTGAGATCGAGAACCGCCAGGTTGGGATCTTGGCTTCACATCTGGAGGCACAAAGCCCTGTGGGGTCCTGCAGCTTCCCCCGGGGCGCATCCTCTGGCTGCCTCTGGGCTGGGATTCTGTTCCTGTCCCCACCACCCTGACTCACACATGAAACTCCAGTCCTTCCTCAATCTCCACAAAACCCCGTACACAGGGCATTCGGAATATGACCCCGTTCACCGAGGATGGGGCAGATGAGGATGATGAGGCCAAGGGGGTGTCCCTGTGGGGGAGCGCTGACAGCTCCAAATGGAACATGACTCGGCCAGCCCTCGAAGGACCGTCACCCCTCCACCCAGGGAATTTCCCCCAGCCCCTCCTTCCAAAGTGGGCCCAGACTTCCCCATATTCTCTCCCAGCAGGTCACCCTGGTATTTTCCCTATGAGGAATGCTGGTGTCAGCTGTTAAATAAAAACATTTCTCTCTCTCTCCATACAGACACACGCACACGCACACTCACATATGTGAGATGTCTCTATATATATATCAAAAAGAAGAAAATAACCATCATCCCAGGCCTATCTTCTTCCAGGATAAATACTAGTAACATTGACTTCTATACCTTCCAGTCTTTTTTTCTATAAATACATACAAAGAGACCCGTACACGCACTCACACACACTTTTTTTTTTATTGGAGTAGCACAGCTATTTTTGTTCATGTTACAATATCTCATGAACATCTTTTCCACATGAATAAATATCCTTCTCCAAGATGATTTTTAATGGAAGAAACATACTTTTGCATGGAACATGTTGCTCGCCGGTGTTTAGACTTCTCGGAGGCTCAGGCCGACTTTTCTGGAGTGGGGGGAAGAGGCCCAACTGCCCTGCAGGGTTGCAGAGTGGCTTCAAGAGGTTTTAGGACCAGAAAGGAGATGTGAAGGGGGGCCACAGAATTTGCTCGCCCTTGAGTCCGGTCCCCGCCAGCTGGAGTTGGACCTGGGCAGATAAGAATGACATTAACATCAGTGATGATGATATTAGGAACCATGTGCTGAGTCCCACTATGTGCCAGGCACTGTGGTAGGACTTTACACCCATTATCTCATTAATCCTTATCACAGGGCTTCAGGTGACAGGTGTTGCCCCCATTTAAATTTCATTTGCTAATTGTCTATTGCTGGTATGTAGAAATATGGTTGACTTTTTTATATTGACTTGCTGAATTCACTCATTATTTCTAATAGTTTCTCTGTAAATTCCTTTGGATTTTCTACAAACCCAGTCATGTCACCTATGAATAATAGGAAGTTTCATTTCTCCTTTTCCAATGCTCACACATTTTACTTCTCTTTTCTTGCTTTATTGCACTGCCTCAGACTTCCAGTGCGATGATGACCAGGAGTGGTGACAGCATCCTTGTCTTGTTACCAACCTCCAGGGAAGGATTTTTATATGTTCCTCCTCTACTTTCTTTGGATGGAGACTTAGAGCATTGGTTTCCAATCTGCCTTCTTTTCTAATTTATGTGCTTATGGCTATGAACTTCTCTTTAAGTATGCTTTAGCTGCATCTCACAAGTTTTGGTATGTTATATTTTTGTTATCTTTCAGTTTAAATTTTCCATTGAGATTTCCTCTTTGCCCCATGGATTATTTAAAAGTGTTTTGCTTAATTTTCAAATGCTTAATTATTTTCTAGTTGTTGTTCTATTTTTTTATTTCTCACTAATTCCACTGTGATCAGAGAATATATTCTGTATGACCTTAATCCTTTGAAGTCTTTCAAGGCTTGCTTTGTGGTTCAGCTTATATTCTGTGTGCACTTGAAAAGAAGTGGTCATGTGCATGACTGAGTGAGTGTTCTGTATATGTCAGTTAGGTCAAGTTTGTTGATCATGTTGTTAAAATATTCCATATCCTTATTGATTTTTTTGTCTATCAGATGTTAAGAGAAATGAGTTAAAATCTGCCCATACGATTGTAGATTTGTATATTTCTCATTTTAGTTACATCAGTTTTTGCTTTTTATTCATGTGGAAAAATGCTCATGATCTATTATGACATAAAAAAAAGCTATACTACTCCAATTTGTTTCAAAAATTGACATATTAAGGAGGGTGGATGTGGGGGGGGTCAGATAGACTAGGGGTCAAAGCCTGGTTCTTTTGTTCACGGGCTCTATGACTCAAACTTTCTGAGTCTTGGTTCCATAATCTGTAAAATGGAACTAATGGTACAATATTACATTTGCAGCTTGCAAATATGCTGTGATTTCTTCCATCTTAAATTCTGTATCTTGAGCCTGCGTCCCCCTCTAGCAACTCTGCACTTTGTCCACGACTCCTTATAACAGAATTGTCAAGACTCTGTCTGCAGTTTCTCTCTCTTCTTTCTGACCCACTCAGTCAGGTTTCTGCCCACCTCGTCACCAAAACCTTCCTTCTCAAGGTCACCATTTACCTCCACATTGTGAAATCCAATGGTCAGTTCTTGGTCCTCATCTTCCTTGACAAATCAGTGGCATCAGGAGATCACCATTGAGCTCTCCTTCCTCCTTGACACACTTTCTTCACTTGCTTCCAGAACATTCCGTACTCTCCTGATGCCCCCATCTCACTGTCATGCCTCCTCTGCCTCCTTCACTGTTTTCTCCTTAGGAACCCTGACTAAAACATTGGAGTCCAGTCCCTGGGGCCCTTTCTCTTTGATCTTCACTCCCTGCCCCATGGGTGATCTCATTCAGCCTCAAGGTTCTGAGACCATCTACACTCCGACAACTCTCAAATTTATATCTCCAGCCCAGAAATCTCCTCTGAACAGGCAACCCCATTTGGACGTCTCATTGGCTTCTATCTCAGACCAAACTCCAATTCTTTACCATCAAAGTGCCTCTTCCCACAGCCCTCCTCACCGCAGTGAATGATCGCTCCATCCTTCCAGTGGCTCAGGCTAAAAATTTTGAAGTTGAACTTTCCTTCTCTCTTTCTATCACCGTTCGTATCTGACCCATCAGCACATCTTGTTTCAAATCATATCCGGAATCCGACCCTTCCACCCTCCAGGGCTGACGCTGGTGGGAGCCACACCATTGCTTGCCTGGAGTCCTGCAATTTGTTTCTAATCAGCTGGCCTATAATATCCTTGCCCCACAGTCTGTGCTCCACCTGGCAGCAGCCGGAGTGAACCTGTCCAACCGTAGACAGATCACAGTCCGCTCTGCTCAGAGCCCTTGGCGAGTCTAGGTCCTCCGAGCAGCAGACACTAAACCGGGCTTACATGTGCGATAGTTTTGTTAGGGAAACCACCTGTGAGAGCAAATGGGGATGACTGGGAGAGCCATCAGACTGATGTGGATGTGGTCCTGAGTGAAGGATGGGGAAAGGAAGGCAGAGAGGGAGCACTGATCGCCACACAGTCTAGGCAAGGTTCAGCAAGGCCCTTGGGAGCACCCAAGTCGGGGGAGCCCCGTGTCTCCCAGGGCGGGAGGCTGTGACAGCATCCCTGCCATACTCAGCCATTGTCTGGGAGTAGCCCACGGGGCGTGTGGCCTCCATGCGCGTGTAATGATGGGTTTCAGAGCCCTGCAGCTAGGGCTCATGGTCAATGCTGATCCCTGGAGTTGAGGTCTGCAAGGCACGTTCTCGTGACCGCTGCAGTTCTCCAAAGGTTCCTGTCTCACTCAGAGTCCACGTCAGAGCCCGCTGATGTCCACGTGTCTCTCCACCCCGTCTCTCCCCCTCACTCACTTGCTCCAGTCACACTGGCCTCCCTGCTGCTCCCCAGACACACCAGGCATGCCCCGCCACAGGGCCTTGGTGTTGGCTATGTCCTCTGCTCCAGAGTGTCCTTTCTGTAGCTGTCCCGGGGCTGCTCCCTCACTCCTCAGCTCTCTGCTCAGACGGCACCTTTGCGGTGAGGCCTTTCCTGACCTCCCTTCTAAAACTGCAACCTCCCCTCTCCCCTCCATGACCCCAACTTCCCTATCTTCTTTCTCTGTGTCTCTCCATGGCCCTTTGGCCACGATGTACTTTGTGACTGTGGTTTGTCTCACACCCCTCCCCCGCACCAGCCCAGTGCCGGGCACACAGTAGGTGCTCAGCCATCAACTGCCATACGGATGAGTGGAGGACTGTTCTCACCCGGGGTTCTGTGGGGCTCAGGGCTGGGCCCAGAGCGGGCCCCCGTGGCAAATGCAGGGCATCGGCATTGTGGTTTGACCCTCCCTCGGCGGCCCTTGGACACCTCCCCTCAGCTCTGTTGCTGCCTCTGCATGGCCCAGTGCCCTCATTCTTGCTCTCCACCTCCAGCCTCTCCCGCTCCTCTCTGCGGCAGGAGGGACCTTTATAACTCACCACTGATGCTCTCGCCTCCCACTCAGAGACCTCCAGTGGCTCCCCATCGCCAGCTCCTCCTTTCCCGGGGACCCATCCCAGCCCTGCCTCCCTGGGCTCCTGTCTCTGCAGGGGGCCGTCACTCAGACATGCCAGGACCTTGACCCAGGGCAGAGGCGCTCCTCCTCCACTCCTTTCTGAACAACACCCAGGTCTCACCCATCTGCCTCCAGGGTGCACCATGCAGGTCTCTACACGCAGGTGCCCATGAGAGTGCAGCTCTCTTTCCGTGGTCACGGTATTACAGGGGGACCCTCACTCAGATTAGGCCCTGGCCCTGGGCAGCTGACTCCAGCTCTGGCCTCAGCCCACCTGGAGGAAGGCCTTGGCACTGACCTAACCTCTGCCAGGGCTGATGACCATTCAGGGCAGCACCATTGCCCCCTAGGCAGCAGGAGGCAAAGGACTTGGAGGGCCTGGGTCCCACACAAACAGCCCCAGCCCAGCACAGCCCAGCACAGCATGTGAAAACAGAACACAACCCAGCCCAGCACAGCACCACATAGCTCAGCTCAGACCAGCGCCAGCCCAACAGAGCAGAACACAGCACAACCCCAGCATAGCGCAGCACAGCTCTAGAACAGCACAAAACGGCCCAGCACAGCCCCAGCCCAGCACAGCCCCAGAATACCATAGCCCAGCACGGCCCTAGCCCAGCACAGCCCAGCACAGGCAGTCCTGGCCCAGAGCAGAGGAAGCACACAGCACAGCAGAGCACACCCCAGCACTGCCCCAGCGCTGCCTCGTCCAGCCCCAACGCAGCACAGCCCAGGCCCGGCTCAGTCCCAGCCCAGCGCCGCCCAGCCCAGGGCAGCCCCTGCAGAGGCCTGGGCAGTCTTCTCCCAGCAGGCATGCCCTGAGGGAGGCAGTCCCCATCACCAAGCGCGCCCGGAGGGTCTGGTTCAGAGCCTCTGTTGACAAGGGCACCCTGCATTTCCCAGCCTAGTGATGCGGGTCACAGCCTGAATGCAAATGCAGCCATCGGGTCAGGACTTGTCAAAGGCTTCACTCAGCAGCTGCTAATTGGCAGCCACCTCTGCAGCCTCCCCTGCCCTCAGCCCCACAGCTGCTCCTGCCCACAGCATGGCCACCCGCCAGTGTGGGTCAGAGGCCTGCGGGGTCCCAGGGCAGGGAGCTCTTCTCTGGCTCAGAAATTCCCTGGCCGCATGCCCGGGACGGTGGGAGCCCGCGGAGCTGGGGGCAGGAGGCCTGAGTGCCAATCTTGGCTCTACCACTGAGAGGCTGTGTGACCTGAGATGTCTCTGGGCCTCTCTGGGCTCATGTGTGGTGGGCAACCCATGTGAGCTGGACATGAGGGAGAAGGGAACCACGTGGGGGACCCCAGATCTGCTCCCCTGCTGAGATGTCAGCAAAAAGGCCCTTTTCCTCTCTTCTCTCTGTGACCAGAAACGTCCAGCTTGGAGAGGCTGTCAGATCCATGGAGAGCCAGGCCTGGGTGGACAGAGGGTGGGGGCACAGGGCTGCTGAAGAGCAGATCCCCATCCTGTGTGCCAGGCTTGCTGATGGTGGCTGGTGCCCTGGGCAGGCAGGAAGACCCGACAGGCCAGAGCAGGCCTTGGAAGTTGCCTTCTGGAAATGCGGCTCCTCCTTTGGGTGGCCCTGCCCCCTTCCCTACCCGGAGGCAGATTGGAAGCCCTTTTCCCAAGATCTACCCTCTTTCTGACTCAGAAGCCCCTTGAGTTGGCCCCCAGGGCTGCCTTGCCGTCCCTGTGTGATGTGCTTGAACTGAAGGTCCACCAGGTGCTGAATGGTTTATTACCGGGTTTCATGCCCTGCTACCCTTGGGCACCTCCCTCCCTCCCTCCTCCCCTCCCCACCTCCCCTCCCTCCTCTTGCCTCAGAGCACCACCTGTCTCTCCAGCCTGCCTCAGCAACCCCTGCTTGCCTGTTGCCAGGGAAACCACCTCCTTGGCAACCAGCCGGCATCCATATGACATGTACATGCGGGAAGGAAAGGCTCCTGCCTTTTGCTTAGGCTGTTGGTAGCTCTGCTCCAACAACCCCAAAGAGCAGCATCTGCACCTCACACGGGACTCCGGTGCCCATCAGGGTCTGAGGGAGTGTCCAGGCCGTCACTGCAGAGAGGGGAGGGAGGCATCAAGCCTCCCTTGATGATCATTCAACAGTTATTCAGCATCTACTGTTTGCCAGACCCTGTGCTGGGCTCTTGATGCACAATATATCATTTAATCAGGCATTGAGCCTGCTAGATATGATTATTCCCACTTTACAGATGAGGAAACTGAGGCAAGGTTCAGAGGTTGCCCACGGCTGGCAGTTGTCAGAGCTGAGAGTTGAACCTAGTCTTGTCTGATTTCAAAGCCCTGGTTCTTTCTACCATCCTGAGGCCTCTGGTCAGGCTGCTTATAGCTGGGCCAAGAGGGAGTGTGGCCCCAAGACAGATCCCCAGGTGAGCGAGGAGCCCCCTCATCCTAGCTCATTTGGTGCTGTTCTCCAAGTGTGCCAAGCACAGCCGTAGGTTCAGTGACCAGAGACAAGCCAGGCACAGCTTGATGGGAGAGGAGTGTGACTCTCATGGGTGCCTAGGTCATCCGTGAGCACAGGTTGCAATGGGGGGTCAAGGGAGACCTAGAGGGGTGGATGGGTGAATGGGACCCTCACAGGGGTGGAGGCTTTGGACTGGGGGAGTGAGGGCGGATGCCAGGAGGTCATCCTATCGGAGCCATGGCCATGGGTGTCCTGAGGGCCTGAGGGCAAGCAGGGAATGTGGGAGTGGCCTGGGCCCTCCTCCTACCAGCCAGGTGGAAGCCGAGAGAGAGCCCGCCGGGGTCGAGCCAGAGGTGGTGTGAGGGAGGTGGCAGGGGCACAGAGAGGGGTCACCCTTTACAAGTGGGAAAGGGGTGAGGTGGCTCTGAGAGGGAATGGCAGACGCAGAGGTGCGGCGCTGTGGCCATGGGTGGTGTGGCTTGGCAAGGTGGGTGTCCCCTCACAGGCTACGGCCCTCAGGGCTCTGCCCAGCCCATGGCTCCCGCAAGCAGGGGTGGTTCATAACAGGCTGGGAGGCCCGGCTGCCCTGCCCCTCGGTTCACCTGTTCTGACCCTCACACCGTCTACTGCAGGCCCTGCAGCGCCGAGAGACCGAAGTCTACTCCTGCATCGAGAGTGAGGCCAGCAGCCCGCCTTCCACCCAGAGGCTCCTCTCCCAGGTACGCAGGGGTGGGGCAGCCACCCTGGCCCCTCCTCTCCTTCCATCTGACCGGCTCCTCACCTGTGAAATGGGGGTGAATGGGACAACGAGAGGAAGTCACCGGCTGTGGAATCAGAGCCCTCTCCCAGGGCAGCTGGCCTGGTGGTTGGGAGGACTGGAGGGTTTGTGCCCCTGCTCCATCCCTTACCGCTGTGCGGCCCAGGCCAAGGGGTAACCTCTATGCTCCTCGCCTATAAACTGAGGACCCTGACAGCACTGCCCTCATAGATTTGCCAGAGGATCAAATGTTGTACTGGGACCCATGTGAGCAGTCATAACTACCACTGGGCCCAGTGTAGTGTCTACACTGGCCAATCAGGCAGGGGGTGTTAGGCTTCTCATCAGCTTCCCCTAGGCTGATGTTGGCTGAAGTCAGGGGCTGGAGTCTGAGCTGGCGCCAGCCTAGGCTGGCCTGGTTGGGGCTCCGTTATCATCACGATGGGGACTGAGGCTCATCACTTCATCACGATTCTCACTTAAACCTCAGTTTGCTCATCTGTAAAGTGGATGAGCAAAACTTTCCCACAAATCCAACTTCCCCTGAATGCAAATGAGTTCCAAGTTAAATAACATCTACACCAGAGCTTTGGATGCCATAAAGTGCAAGGGGTTGTTAAGCCAGTAGAGGAGCCCATGAGTGGTGGGTGTGCCCATGGGCACCTTGGAAGAGCCCACAAGGAGTGAGGGGACTGGTCTGGGCTCCTCACCCCCAGGAGGCCCAGGCTGGCACTGTTCGTTGAATCTCCTATTCTCAACACCCTTTGTATACTCAGCCCTGATCTGAGCCCTGACTGGAAGCAGGGGTTCCCCACCCTGGGACCGTCAGGGGATGTGTGGGCCATCCCAGGCAGTGCCCACCCCATGCCAGGCCCTGGGCTGCTGGCCAGGATGGCTAGATGCATCCCTGCCCTCTGGGAGCCTCGAGTCTGCAGGAACAGGATCACGGACCAGACAAACACACAGAGACATTTGTAGCCTTCTGTGAGAGTTGGGCTCCGGCGAGGGACCAGACCAGTCCTGGGGGAGGTAGCTCTCGGGGAGGCTGAGCCGAGCGCTGCAGGGGGAGTAGGAGGTAGTCGGGGAGCAGGCAGGGTCAGGGGAGTACCCCAGACAGAGGGAAGAGCATGTCCTGCCCTGAGGCAGGACAGAGGAGGCTCGTGGGCCTGGAGGGCAGACAGCAGGGGTCGCGTGGACGGCTAGGAGAAGAGGATGGTGAGGTGGGCTTGGAGACAAGGACAGGCCTCCCTGTCACAGCCATGCAGGAAACCACATGCTTGGTTGCCTCTGACTAAAACTAAATTACTGCAAGTTTGTTCTTTTCCTTTCCCATTGTCTTTTTTTTCCCCCCAGGAGAAACTGCACGGATTTAAGGATGACAGTGAATTTAACATGGTCTATGAAAATCTCTAGGACGAGCTCCCCCTGCCCACATCAGAGGCCCCAGGGGCAGCCACCCCCCCCACAGAGGACTTGCTCTGTACCAGGAGTGAGGCCCCAGGGGCACCCCATCACCTCACCCCCACATTCAAGGCCCTCTCTGCCCTGGTCTGCCTCCACCTCCCCTTCTGCTCCCCAGCCATCCCCACTGAGTGTTCCACATCTCCAGGCCTTTGCCCAAGCTGTTCCCTCTGCCTGGCAGGCCCTTCCTCAGTCTTCAAGGGCTCTCTTGGACACCACCCATTCCCCACCACACATCCTCACCGTCTCGAGACCTGAAGGCTCTGTTCACGCCAGCCTGCACCACGGCCTGCAAGGCCGACTGTGGGCTCCTCGGGAGGGACCTGGCCAGGGACACTTGTCAGAGCTGTGTGCAGAGCGTGGTGGGCCGGGTGAATAAAGGATCAACCATGCAGACGCCCCCACCTCCCTGCCTGCTGCCCAGCTAGGCCAAAGGCACGAGGCAGCCACACGGGGTGGGAGCAGGGGGCTGGTGTGGGAAGCGTGAGATGTGGGTAAGAATGAACCACAGAGGCTGCACTGGCCTCAGGGACGGAGCTGGAGGCCAAGGAGGTGGCCGAGTGCTGGGTAGGCATGGAGCAGGGAGGGTCCAGCACAGGCTGGTGAGGAAGGGGATCCGGGCGTGTTTTGAGCTGGGAGGGGAGGTGCCGGCTCACCAGGAGCCGAGCAGCCTGAAGCTCTCCACCCCCAACAAGAACCCCAATGTTGTCTCTCCTCGACCTGGCCCCCCAAACTCCCTGAGCCAGTTGCTTTGCCCCCCTGAGCCTCACACCTTCTCCCCCTCAGGGCCTCAGCGCCCCCTCCTTCCACCCCAAAGCCCAGTCCGCCAAAGGCCCCTGCGTCTGGCCCATCCTGAACCCCGCCACTTCCTCGGTCTTTATCTGTTTTTTGCCCACTCCAGCCCACTATGGGGTGGAGGCCAGACCAGCCCCCTCCCTCCTTGCCCAGGGCTAGTCCCTGCTGCCTCGAGGCCACCGCTCTCTCCATTGTGGTCTGGCTGAGTGGCTTTTCGGACGGAGGGGTCCCTTCATGTTGCAGAAGCTCAGGCCCCTGTGGACGGTGGCTCCTCATTGCCTGGCCCTGACCCATTCCTGCTGCTCCACGTGCTCACATTACCCCTCATGTCACCCTGGCAGCAGCCCGCAGTGAAAGGGGAACCCAGTCCACAGGCAGATGAGGGCCGACGTCCAGATCCCCCAGGCTGTCGGCTCTCCCCAGTCCCTCCCTCGGCTTTCCACTGTTTTCTCATTCGTAATATGGGCAGGCCAATCCTCCCTCCCCACCTCCCAGGCTGCCCCAGAGGTCCCAGAGGCGCACCCTCGCACACAAATCCCAAATGTATTGGGTTGGGGGAGGGGGGACCCTGACCCTGGCCCCTAAGCAGCACTGGGCTGCCGGGTCTGGGAAGCACCTTCCGCACTGCAGCTCAGGCCCTTCCACAGGGAGAGGAAGGCTGGGGTGGAGGGTGGACATAGATTTACGTCTGGAAGAAGTCCCCGGCCCCTCTGCTAGGGTGGTGCTGGGCCTCGCTGAGCCCCCAGGACAGTCCACAGCCTCCCATCTCTGTCCTGGGTCCGGCCTGCGAGCACACAGAAAGGAGGGCTCTGAGCTGGACTATAAGGCTGCACAGAGAGGGCTCTGCTTCCCAGGAGGCTGGGATCTAATGAACTTGCTGCCTGTTGAGGAGGCGAAGCCACCTCCAGCAGAGCTGCCCTCCAGGCTCCTGACTCCAACAGCCTGAGGCAGAGGTGGGGGGTGACGGGACCCACCTGTCATCGCTCTGTGGACACAGATGTTGCCAGCGTGGTGGCCAAGCCTGGTTCAGGGCAGGGCTGTGAAGCCAGCAGGTTTTGAGGTCTTGAGTGAGCAAACAGGAGAAGGAGGAGGGTTAGGGTAGAAGGACAGGACCCTTGGAGGGGCTTTGACACAAGGGAGGGTGGAGGACGAAGGTTCTGGGAGTCCCAGTGTGGAGCAAAGAAGGCTGAGCACCTGTTCCTCAGCCCCCGGGACTGAGAGCCCATGGAGGTGGGCGGTGCAGGGGTGAGGGGTGGCAGATTACCTCAAGGGGGTGCAGGTGGCAGTGAGGGGGAGGAGGGGACAGAGAGGGCCTCGAACTGAGCTCCTTGAGGGCAGGCTCGTGTGCGACTCTGAATGGGTGGAGGAGATGTGGGAGAGGAACCGCCCTTGGGGTCCTTTGGGGCTGGGCGGCCACTGGTCTCTCTCAAATCCCAGCTCCACCCCCAGCAGCGTGTCCACCTGAGCCTTGGTGTCAGTGACAACCAAGACAGCTCAGTGTCGCTCCGAGAGGACAGATGGGGACTCCCTGCTCATGCAGAGGCTCAGCGGGTGTGTTTCCTTCTTCACTCATCCTTCAGGAAAAACAGGCTGCCAGGGGCAGTGCAGAGGGGTCAGCTAAAGGAGGGGCAGGCCTCCCAGAGGGGTGGGGACCCAGGCTTTGTGGCTGCCCCACAGGGAGCACCTGGGGGTGGAGGCAAGGCAAGCAGAGAGGTGTGTGTTGAGGGGAGGGGTGTTCCTGGCCCAAGAGGGGCCTCAGGAGGGGCTGGAGAGGACAGGAGTTTAGCCAGCTGGAAAACTCCCCGGGGGAAGGGGGCCTGAGTGGGAACAGGTGAGACCCAGGTGAAGGGAAGCCTTAGACCCAAAGGGCGAATGGCAGCCATCCTGAGGGTGGACCCCGGGCTTAGAGCTGGTAGGAGAAGCCCAACGCAGCCCCTGAGGGCCAGGCCTCAGGCACTGCTTCCTCCAGTCTGTCCCCTGCTGCGAGGACCCACCGCGGGGAGCAGATGGCGTGTCAGGGTCTCAGTGGATGCTTCTCTCTGCCTGGCCTGCATTTGCTGTGATGGGGAATTTCCCACCAACCCTCCTCAGCAGAGCCTGCCCTGGCCTCCTAGGTCATGCCCTGCCACCATCTTCAGAGTCTCGGGGCATCTGAAACATTTCAGCTACTTCTGACTCCCTCAGCTTGCACTGGCCTCTCCAGGATGGTGGCTCGGTGGGAAATGGCCCATCCTGCCCCTTCCTGCGGTTCAGCCTCCAACCCTCCCCTCTGCTCTCGCTCTTCTCAGCACTTGCTAGAAAAAATCATCCCTGGAAACCAAACCCAGGAACACAAAGTGGGTGTGGGAAGCGGTGGCCCCTCCTTGGCAACAATTTCCAGAGGATTCTGCGAAGCAGAGTTTCCATGGGAACACGTGCTGGTTACACACAGTAACCGAGTGGGGCTGGGGTTCCCTTCACAGCCAATATCGCAGGATCCCACAGGCTCTGGGGGTGGGGGTGCCTTAGGCAGGCACAGCCACTGCGTTTTGACCACGGGCCCTCGCTAACCTGAAATCAAGTAACAGGCAAATCTGCCTTTTTTTTTTTTTACATTCTAATTTAAAGGCCACACTCCAGTCTAAGGATGCCTCTGGGATTTCCAGGATGGATTTTTATGTAGTTCAATAGTTTTCTTGGCAGACCGCTCAGCCAGGAGAGGTGGGCCGTGGCCTCGGCCCAGCCAGGCTGACAGAGTGGTGTCTCTGTCCCTCTTGAAGGCCAGGGGATGTCACTTGTCCACCTGAGGGGCTTCTTCATCCCTGAATCCAGACTCCAAGAGTTGGGACATCAGCATGAGGCACTGGGACACCTTCCTTCCTAGGCTCCTCCTGGCCTCCCAGCAGAATTACGGCCTCTGAGCCTTGACTGAGCATGGCTCAGGCCCTGCTCTCTGCACTTGGTGTTGGCACGCGATTTTTATGTGGGTGTCTACGCAGGTGATGCGGGCACATATTGTGGTAAAACACTTAAACTACAGCAAAGTGAAATTCTCTTTGATGCTCCTGCCACCTCACAGCCTCCATCCCAGTCCCCCCCACAGGGACCACCACTGGGTCACTTGGGCGTGTTTTCTTCCGGGCTGTTTTTATTGCATCTACGTGCATATACGCATATATACGAACATATTAGATATAGAGTGTTTGTGTGGGGTTCTGAAAGCTTCAATAGAATCATTCCGTAGGTGCTGTTTGCAATTGCTTTGTTCAGCTCCACGTGGTGGGGATCTGCCCGTGACAGCACATGGGAGCTGCCAGACTCCTTAATTACAGCAAAGGATTCCACAGGACCGATGGGTCCTAATTTAATCAGGCCCCTATTAATGGCCTTTTCAGTTGTTTACAATTTTCCATCCTCGCAGAAGGTGCTGCAGGGAACATCCTTGCACATAGCCGCAAAACTTTCCGGGTGTGGACATTAACCATTTGAGCAGACACTGCCACATTGTTACTCATGGAGGTTGTACTGGTTTCTATTCCTCGGGTTCTTTATCTACAATATCTCATTTAATCCTGAAAACACCCTGCGAAGTGGGGGGCTTGTCTCCCCATTTTAACAAAGCAGAAACTATGATTCAGAGAAGCAGGCTGGCCATACAGCCCAGAAGGAGCAGCGCTGGGCTGGCTCCAACTGTGCGCAGTTCTGCTGCCTCCATAGGTCAGGGGAGTGGGGGTACGGGTGGAGGCAGAAAGAGCCTCAGAGGGACTCGGTGCCCCCAGGGCTGGGGAAGCCCACGAAGGGACAAATTTCCTTCAGAGATGGCCTGTCAGCCTTTATTGCTCATACTGGCATCTCAGATTTGTGGGGGTGGGGGTGTCCTCCTGCCCGCGGTGGTCTATCTCCCTGGGGAAATGAGGCAGGTCAGTAGGGGTGGTGGGGTCCGGCAGCCCACACCCACTGTGGGGCCTGGCTTCAGGCAGCCTGGACATGGATCCCAAGCCTCCTCTGGAAATTTCTGGGCACAGCATGCCTGGAGGTGTGAGCTGCCTCTTGGAAGCTTTATAATCCGAGATAATGCTGCTGTAATTGGCATCGTTTCCCATTTACAATCCTCTCATTACCTGAAAACCTACTTGCAATGGCTATGTCTGGAGAGGGTTTAATTTTAGCACTTTGTGGACCTTGAGGGGCCGAGGAGCACGGGCTTTTTCTCTGTCGCCCCCATCCCGTTTCTCCAGTGAGTGTCACAGGCCTGGGGACCACATTGCGGCTGACCTCACAGCCTTGGCTCAGGGCACAGCCCTGTAACTGGCTCCCCACCATGGGCCCCGGGCTGACCTGCTTTTCTCCTACATGGTACCCACCCATCTAGTCTCCTTCCAACCCCTCCTCCCTCCAGCCCTTTCCAGCCTCTGCCACCACATTGATCTTTCTACAGCACAGATGTCACCACAGCAGCACCCTCTCAAAACCCTGTAGTACCTTACATTTATGGTCAATTCATTTCAACAAAGGGGCCAAGAGAATTCAAACAAGTCTTTTCAACAAACAGTGCTAGACATCCACACGCAGAGGGATGAAGTTGGAGCCCCACCTCACACCCTATACAAACCTCACAGTGGCTT